CCAGCACTTTGGGCGGACCGAGCTGCGGATCACGAGACCATGGAGATTGAGACCATCCGGCTAACGGCCAAAACTAATAATTTTTAAAAGATGACTAATTTACTAGACAACTGAAAACCTCAAAAATGCTGGAAGCAAATCTGTATCCTCTGCTTTGCATTGAATTCATTTCTGTAAAATCTGGCTTATGATTTAGAATCTCCCCATGCAAAGTTTTTGTTTATACTTGCCTGATACTCATGCTACACCTATAATTTTCTTGTTACTTATGCTTTTCTCTTTTATAATTTATCAGATATTCATCATATGAGCTGGTCTTGGATTATAAGAATGATTTTTTATAGTTTAGCAGTGTACACAAAATAACTTCTAGATGTGTTTCCAAAATTTGTGTATTACATTTTATTTAGTTAGAACATTCTATTTCTTCTTTCCACTGGAGAATCCTATATAAGCCTACTTTAGTTAGTGTTCTTTTGTCTTATTATAATTGACATAAGTAAATTTATTTATTGAGCCAGTTTGTTCAGGTAAGAACTTGAAAGACTTCATAAGTCATGAAAGTGCTTTTATATATAAATGCAGCAAACAAACATGACATTGCTTATTGTGTAACAGGTGCTCCATAATGAGCCATATGTATTTCTACTGGTGTTAGTTTGTAACTACAAGTCAGAGATGGAAAATGTTAATAGTGAAGAAATAACATTGATTTTTCATGTGGAGAGAACTTTTTTTTTTCAGGCTGCAAAGCTGAATCTTGCTGAATTTAAAGAGAAATTCTGTTTTTTTTTTTTAATTTCCTAATTATCTTCAGTTTTGTTTATCTTATTATGTGTCTTCCATGTATTCAACACAGTCCTTCTTTTTCTGTGTTACTGCCACAGTTTTCTCACTGTTGTCTTCATGCCATGTCAATTCACATGGTACTTTGTAGGTTTTGATGAGAAAATTGGTATTTTTTAATGCACTGAAAAATTGGTTATAACTAGAGAGTTTGCTTATCAATATAATTTTCAGATTAGTTAAGATAAAAGGCATACCCTGTCCACAGGTGAGAGGATTAAATCAGCATTGTTTTTCTCTGTTTTTAAAAGGAAAATCTTATTAAATTCTTACATAAAGTGTGGCACATATTGTTTGCTAGAAAATATATCTTAGAAATTAAATTTTTGAGAGAGCTAATGGTAAGTGAAGAATTTTAAATTTAATTTTCTATGATACAGCACAGCATACTTTTTTTTTTTTTTTTGCAAAATCTTATGTTTGAAAGTGTGAATATTCAAGGTTGCAAAATAACGACCTTTGTTGATTCAATATTTGGAATACTACGTCTTTTCTATATTGATAGTACAATTCAGAAAAATTTCTCTTATTTTATATAATTATTTTAATGAGTGAAGTTTAGTCTACAGTTTTTATTGTTAGTCACCTAACTAGCCAACTTCTTTCTCTTTTCTACTTTCCATTTTCTATTGGAAAACTTTTGGAGATCATGGCAGCTTTTGGATTAAAACGTTTTCTGTTATTTTGCATGCAAGCTTGTTTACTGTGTTAACATAGTAGTTAGTCATGAGACCTATAAGAAACACTCTCAGTGTCTTTCATGCCATTACCGTCTGCAATAAATACATGTGTATTTGTTCTGTAAAACATTATGTTTGGAAGTATATATACATTGTCAAATGCCTAATTTTAGGTCATTAAAGCTTTACCTCACAGAGTTAACATTTTTGTGGTGAGAGCACATGACATTGCCAGCATTTTCCAAAAATACTAATATATTATTATAATCTATAGTCACCATGCTGTAAAAAAACCCTCCTGAACTTCTTTCTATCCAACTATAGTTACGTATTCTTTGACATCTTTCCACCCCCCCCTTTTTTCTAAATACCTTGGCCTCTGGTGGTCACCATTTTACTCTCTACTTCAATGAGATTATATTTTGTTTATGTATTTATGAGACAGAGTCTCACTCTGTCACCCAGGCTAGAGTGCAGTGGTGCGATCTCGGGTCACTGCAACCTCCGCCTCCCAGGTTCAAGTGATTCTCCTGCCTCAGCCTCCTGAGTAGTTGAGATTACAGGTGTTCACGACCACCCCTGGCTAATTTTTTTGTATTCTTAGTAGAGACAGGGATTTGCCACGTTGCCCAGACTGGTCTCGACTCCTGAGCTTAGGCAATCCAACCCCTTGGCTTCCCAAAGTGCTACGATTACAGGCATGAGCCACCGCACTCGGCCGAGATTACGTTTTTTAGAATCCATGTCTAAGTGAAATCATGAAATGATAATCTTTCTGTACTTGGCTCATTTCAACAAATATTATGTCCTCCAGTTTAATTTATGTGATTGAAAATAATAGAATTTTCTTTTTTAAAGATGAATAGGATTTATTCCATAGTATGTACCACATTGTCTTTACTCGTTAAATGTTGAACTGTTGATTCCATATTTTGGAAATTGTGAAGAGTGTTGCAAGCCGTATAGAAGTGCAATTATTTCTTCATTCTGATTTCATTTGTTTTGGATATATAAACAATAGTGAAATTGGTGTTTTTTTTGTTTTGTTTTTTTTTTTAAAAAGAGTCTAGGTCTGTTGCCAGGCTGGAGTGCAGTGGCGTGATCTTGGCTCATTGCAACCTCCACCTCCTGGGTTCAAGTGATTCTCCTGCCTCAGCTTCCCGAGTAGCTGGGATTGCAGGCGTGCACCACCATGCCCAACTAATTTTTGTATTTTTAGTAGAGACAGGGTTTCACCATGATGGCCAGGATGGTCTCGATCTCCTGACCTCGTGATCCACCCCCCTCGGTCTCCCAAAGTACTAGGATTACAGGCATGAGCCACTGTGCCTGACTGAAATTGCTGTATTATATGGTAGTTTAATTTTAAATTTTTTGAGAAATCTTATTCAGTTTTTTATAATGACTGTCCTCATTCACATTCAAACCAGTGTGCAAGCATATTCCGTTTTCTTCACAACCTATTATCTTTGTGATAAAGTAATTCTCACAGGACTGACTTGATATCTCATAGGGTTTTGGTTTCTTTTCTCTGATAATTGATACTGAGCATTTTTTATATGTCTCTTGGCCATATGTCTGTCTTTTCTTGAACAATATTTAAGCCTTTTGCTCATTTTTAATGGTTATTTGTCTTTTATTGTATAGTCATTTGAGCTTTTTATTTATTTTTTTATATTAACCCCTTGTCACATGTGATTTGCGAGCATTTTCTCCTGTTTTTTAGTTGTCTTATCCTGTTGGTCATATCAGATTCTGTGCAGCAGCTTTTTAATTTGAAGTGGTCCGACTCATCTATTTTTTCTTTGATTCCCTGAGATTTTGAGGTTAAGCTAAAGTCACTGCCTAGACCAATGTTATAGGGATTCACTCTATATTTCTCGTAGTAGTTTCAGAGTTTCAAGCCTTATGTTTAAGTATCTAATTTATTTTGAGTTGATTTTTATATATGGTGTAATATGGTATCATTTTATTTCTCTGCATGTGGATGTAAAGTTTTCTTGACACCATTTGTTGAAGATACTATTTTTTCCCTAGGAAATGTTCACCTACATCTATAATTAGTTATCTGTAAATACATGAATATACTTCTGGTCTCACTTTTCTGCTCCATTGGCGTATGTGTCAATACACACAACTACCCATGATTGGATCAGGAAAAAAGAGAAGTCTTGAACAAAGCAAAAATGTATTAAATGTATAATAAAATTGAATTTGTAATAAAAAACCTACAAAATATAACAAGCCCTGGATCAGATGAATTTGCAGCCTAATTTTACCACAAATACAAATATTATCTGGTACTAGTTCTACTGATGTATTGCAAGAAATAAAATGGGTTCCTTCCTAACTTTGTTATATGAAATCAGTATCATCTTGATACGCAAAGTCTAAGACACAACAAAAAAATCTACAGTCCAATATTCCATGGTGAACATTGAAACAAAAATCCTTCCTGAAATATTAGCAGCTGAGTTCATAAGCAAATCAAAAGTTATTTTTCCACACCATGTGAGTATTATTCT